TTTTACTATTTTAACCCTTTGTCAAGTCTTTTGACACTTGCAGCTAGTCTTGTAAAAATAGCTTAAAGCTAAGTTTWGCTACTTTTAGCATACCTTTTGCAGTTTTTATCAAGCCTCTTGTTGCTTTTTAAATCGGTTTCTGCTACTTTTAGCAAACATTTTATTATTTTTAGCTTGCATTTCTCTTTTTGCTTCTATGTAGCCTTTTTAAATTTTATCTTCTAGCTAGTTGTTGCTACTTTCAGTATTCCTTTTGTTTGTTTTCTTTTCACTAGTATTTTCTTTTTTTTTTGCTTTTTTTCTTCTAGCTAATTATTGCTACTGCTATTGTTATTTCACATTGAACGAATTGTTTTCATAAATGCAATAAATAAACCATCACATGTAAATATTGTAATTAGGTGAATATTAATCAATAACCAACATTAATCAGTATAACACAGAAGTAAGTTCTTGTGGTGGGTCACTGCAGCTGTCCCATGCAGAGAAAATCTAACAAACAAATTAAAACTAACTTTAGTTCTGTCGTGTTTGAAAAGTAAATCTCGRGCAAACTGAAGGGAAATTTGACCATTTTTTATGAAATAGAACCAGGCAAGAAAAGAAATGCCAAAGTGAACATGCAGCATGGACAATAACTGCAAAATTACAACATTTGAATGAAAGGAAATATCCTGATTTGTTTTAATCYTACATAGACCAAGTCCTTATCCTCTTGTGATTATTTATTATTTTATTTGTGTTTTCGCTGAAAGAGTCTGGAATTCAAAGCCGTGAAATATTTTTAATCTTTACTCTTTATCTGCTCTTCTTTTATTTGTTTACCTGTGTTAAACGGTCACAGACAGGAGTGTTTTTTTATTTTTAGTCATTTTTAAGGGCAATATTTTATATAATTTAAATGAGCTTTCTCTGTAAATCCAGATCCAACACTGTAAACTCCTGTTTTCAGATGGAAATAACTGTTTATCATCTCATCTCAGCCTGTTTTTTGTGCTGAGTATCTGTTCAAACAAGATGTTATTAATACTCCCACTTTGCATGGAGGAGCAGTGCCGTCATTCCTGCCGACAGTTTCAGGAACACAGAATTTGAAAAACAAATATTGGCTGCAGGTATCTTATGCAAAGCTCAGGAAGCTTTTTTAAAACGACCAAATGGACTCAGTTGATTCTGTTTCCTGCACAACCTCTGATGCAGAAAGGTGAGAAATAAAATACCTTTTGATGAAAGTTGATTACTTTTTAAATGCTTCTTTTTATAATATTTATTCTGGTATTTTCACTCATCRAGTCTGAAGCTTAGAGACAGAAAACATGAGTCGGCACATCTGGATGACTCAGATTTTACTGGTGGGCTTTTTGTGCATTTTTCCAACATGTAAGTGTTCAAACTATAATAACTGAATTTCATGAAAAACARTAGTAATTTATTTTATCTTGAAGGTTTTTCTCTCACTTATATTCTGTCCTCAGGCCTGAAGACCCAAAATCTGAACACAGGTTATTGTTTGGTTTTGTTTTTTTTGTTTTTTTCAGAATTTGCAACTTATTTCAACTCAGTTTTACTTTGTGTGGATTTTTCCAAKTTCTGTTTAAAAATTGTGAATCAACAAATCTTCATAATCATAATGTTCATAAATGAGAAATGTTTGTTTTCTTGACACGTTTTTTTTTTTTTAAAGGGAAAAAAACAGTTCAAAGAATTAAGGAGCTGAGAACATGTTTAACTGCCGGAAACACTGCTGGGATCATTGCTGATAACTTTTATGGCATCATTAACGCATCCAAATACGGGTCAAGTATTTCAGGTAAGTCCAGTTAATATGTTTGTTATTCATAACAATGAATAATATGAGAAAGTGCTTTTTAACTAAGCACTTCCTTCACACATACAAACACACACATACAGTATACACAAAGCAGAGATCTGGAGCCCAGCTGGTGACGATGGATTATTGAATCATTTAAAACGTCTGTACATCTGTTTTAGAAATGAGTATTTCTGCTACATCTTTACTTCATTTAGATTCCCACAAAGCAGACAGGTGTGGGGCAGATCTGGTGTCAAGCTGCCACTGCTGCCCTGTCAGGTGGTTTGTCTGTGGGCCAGGTCTGGCTGTTAGGTTAAGGTTCCACATCTGGCCCTAATGTAGTTTGTTTTCTGTGGCCTACCACTGTATTATCAGCTTGCCTTGAAGTTGCTTTTAAAGAAATTAATATTTTTGATGATATTTGTTTAGGTGACTGCATAATATTTCTACAGAGAAACTTTAAAAAACAAGGTAAGAAGCTTCTGCTTTTTTATTTGTTTTGGGTTGTTTTTTTTTTCACCACAACTTCAGCTTATTGAAAAATGCATTTTTTATTTTATTTATCAGAAAAATTGTGGAAAGAATGGCCACAAGTGCAAAGGAATACGACATTCATGTTACTTTACATCCCAAAATATCTGGCCCAGGCCAACGTGAACATTTACGCTCGTGCTGGAAAAAACAACTCTGCAGGTGATTTGACAGAAAACACATTTTAAAACATAAAAAGCACAGAAATACATTTGTTCTTTTGTATAAAAAGTGTGTAAAACAAATTTATCCAAAAGGTAACAGAACAGAATTATTGTGCTTAAACAGAAGAAGCTGACAACATTGTGGTTGTTCCTATGTTCCCTGGTACGATACCGATGTTTTTTCATTTGAAGGAGGAGCCAAGGATCTTTCAAAACTTCCATTATATACCCAGAAAACATGGGAAACCAGGAAACATAGTACCAAAGAACATAGGTACCAGGGTTCTAGGAAACATAGGTACCAGGAAACATAGGTACCA